TTGGAGAGATGGAAAGAGTGAGTGGGTGGGCTCTCTCTCTCTCTCATTCCGGTCACTGAACTTTGTCCGACTGGACTTTCGTCATGAAAATTTGCATACGTACGCTCGCTTGCCAGATGACGCGACCCCCACTTGTTGGGCGCTGAAATTGGATATTTTTGGGTGCTTAGTCCGGGGATGACGCGTCAAAAGTGAACTGAACGGGCGTCATTAGGGCAAGCCCCGTCATTGGGCATACCGGCGGCGGGAGCAAGGGGCAGCAATTAGTAGCAGCGTGTCTCTTGCGCCTAATTGTGCCATTCTATAGGAATTAATTTTGCATCTTGGAAAAATATGCAGTTTTAATTAGTTAATAAGCACCGTTGGCTTGCAGCTGGCCAGGATTCCTTAGATAAGCTAACGGCCAATGTGAAACGCTGCGCGTCAAATGGGCGTCGCGCGCAATTAGCGACATATATCAATTACAATACATAAATAAGAAATCTACATTTATTACGTATACGACTCGCTGCCCCGTTAAAATGTTTACATTATAAATCATTTATTCAAATTACATATTAAAGCTGCCTCTGTTCGAAGTGGATCGAGCTTACAGTCTGCCTTGCCTGGTGTGTCTTGGTCAGTTATACTCGTTGAGCCACTGTGGCTCAGCGGCTAGTGGCCAGTGTGGCGGGTCAACTTGTCGCTAGCTAGTCGCACCACGACGGCGTCTCCAACAGCTGATCGACGTCTGGCAGTGGGGTCTGCGCAATTGGGCTCTGATTTGTTGCTCCACATGTTTGGGTTGGCGCCCGAGTCAAGTTCAAGAATGTCAAGACGTTCTTTTATGCATTTATTACACACATACATATACATACATGCGGGTTTGCTTATGGTTAAGTAAATTCATTTTGTAAACTTCCAAGAAACATATTTTCTAACATACAATGAATGTTGTTCGTGTTGCTGTTGTACATGCTACTCAAATGCAGTTGCTATTTAATTGTGTAGGAAACATATTTCTCATATATATATATATATATATATATATAAATCATATTCTACTATTATTCTCGCAGTGCACTGCATTGCGTAACTTCTTAGATATCTAAAAGGAATTTTTGTAAATTTTCAATTCATATCTTTTCATTTAATTTAATTTCATTTATGCTTCCGTTTTTAGCCCGTAAAAGTATGCAATTATTGTGCTTTTGCCACACTGTATATAAACAAATGTGGCTTGTAAATTTTAAAACAAAAGTCGCGTGCATAATACAATTGTCCTATTTAGTAATTAATATGACATTGACATATCAAATTCTGGAATACAATTGGCATGTGTGAACTTCCCGCTGGGATTCACATTCTTATAGTCTACTTTTGAGCGGTGTGTCTCGAGTTAGTTACAAAATTGGCCGTTGTAGGCAAAGGCGGCGCTATTGTATCAAAACGATCAAAGCGATCGAGCCTCGTATCAAAGTTGACAAATGATCTTCAAAAATGTATGCCAAAATACATGCTTCATATAAAGTACACATATATATATACATCAATAGATAGACAATAAAACACTTATATAAATTGATTATAGTATGGCTTGCTCCTTCTACCAAATGTTTTGTATATTAATCCTTAACTTCTTTGAACTTAACAGCGAGGCATAAAAGGAAGTGCTCGTATATCTAACAATCCTAGGGAGGGCACACGTTTCTATGCGGGGATTGAAGCTATGGCTTTTGCCGGTGTTTTTTTTTTAAATAATTGCAATTACAATTTCAAAATGGGGAGTAAACAAAGTTTGATTAGAAACTAATATAGGTTTACAAATTTTAATTATATTTTATTTATCTACTATAGCTGAGGGCTGCTGGCATATTCGCAAATATTATCATTACTATCTCTCATTCTATATATTTTACTTATATGAAAAAAAATGTACAAATCTAACAAACTCAAACAAATTCACGTCAATATGGGTTTCCAATAGATACATCGTCTATATAAAGATACAACTACCAGGGTATCCGTAGTTACTATTCAACTATCTAATAGTCACGAATATGCCAAGAGTTTGACAAGGAGGCGACAAGGCTCGAGTGGACTAGTCGTTGGGATTTGTGCGGAATGTTTATAAACTTTGTTTTGTCTTATTTGTTGTTGTTGTTATTGTTGTTATTGGTCGGTTCTGTACTTGTTTCTAGCTCTTTGTTATATGGTCATTTGTCGTTATAAAATGTATTACAAATCTCTATTCGAGCTAATTCGTTGGTGCAGTTTATTTTTGGACACGCTTCAGAAAGCATCGTTGAGCTCCACAACTGACATTCTCAGTTCCCCCAAGGGCGGTAGCTACTGCGGTCTCGCCAACAACTCCAATCCACCCTCCTCCTCCATTTTAGTAAGGAACTTCAAAACTCGATACTGCGGCTCTGATTGCCGCACCATATCAATTAGAGCCAATAGCTTCTTAATGCCAATCCATACTCGTGCGCCGCCAAATTTTCGGCCAATCCCTTGCAGCTCTTCGGGACTAAATAGATCGGAATCCTCTAACACTGTTAGCACATGCTCGGGATTGGATATATTGGACACATGCAGAACGGATGTGAATGCAGATAGCATTTCCATCTCTTCGAGCACCTGTCGCCTGCTTGAGGTGCACAAGATGAGCAGTTTGCGGCCCTTCGGTGGCTGTTTCTTGAGCAGCACCAGCAAGGCCTGCAGTGTTAGGTTGGAGTAGCGCGGCCCGATGGGTCCATAGTCGAGCAAACGTTCCACATTGTCCACCACAATGCAGCTGAGCGTAGAGCGGTAAGCATCATCGAATATCTTGCGTATGTGCAAGCACTTGGCGGACTCGGTGAAGCCCACCATATCCTCTGGCGAGCACACCTTGACAAAAGGGAAATTACTCATTTTTGCCAGATTGGCGGCCAGCGCCGATTTGCCAGAGTTGGGCGCACCCTCAAGGAGCACGGATACCAAGCCGGAGCTTTCCGTAGCCTTGGCCTGTTGCACATACAGCATGCCATCCTCTAGTAGGCTGGTCACCGGCGGGCCCCAGTTGATGACGCCACGGGCCAGCATGTTTTCAATCATCTCCTGAGCTGCACCGAATGCGGGCTTTATGTCATTTTCCAAGGCGTGCATAAAGTCGGAACGCGTTACTTTTAGCTTTTCCATGGCCTCGGGATCCACGTGGACTTTAGCGTCGGCCTTGATCAGACGATTCATGGCTGTGGACTGAGCAGCACGCACCAGACCCTCTAGCTCAGCGCCGCTGAAGTTCTTTGTGCAAGCCGCAATCTCCTTATTATCGACATCGCTGGCAATCTTATTGAATTCGCGCATTCGCTTTGTGTGTATGTTGAGGATCTGAACGCGTCCCAACTCATTGGGCAGACTAATTTCCATTTGCACCTCCAGACGACCGGGTCGTAGTAGCGCTTCATCAATCATATCCCTGCGGTTGGTCATGCCAATGACCAGTATATTGTTCAGTTGTTCCACGCCGTCAATCTTAGCCAGCAGCTGGTTGACCACAGTGTCATGTACGCCACTGTTGCCAGCCACCGACCCACGTGCCTTGCAGATAGCATCGATTTCGTCGAAGATGATAATGTGTAGTCCGCTGTTCGGTCCCAGGCGCTTCTCCTCCTCCTCAGCATCGGCAAACAAGCGTCGAATGTTGGCCTCCGACTCGCCCACGTATTTGTCCAGAATCTGTGGTCCATTCACTATTTTGGGCTCACGCGCATTCAACATGGTGCCAATCTGTCGAGCCATTAAAGTTTTGCCCGTTCCAGGCGGACCGTAGAGCAATATGCCTTTCACGTGCTTGATGCCTAACTGCTCGACCAGTTCGGGTGGGAAGACACGCGATGCAAAAGCGCGCCGAAAGATGGAATTGAATTCTTTGTCCAGGCCACCAATTCCCATTTTGCCAAAGTCCCAGTCGGGATTTATGATGGGGCTCCGTACAATTTTTCCCTTGGATCTGCCCTGCAGATTGAGTACCGAGTTCTCGGCCTTCTCGAATTGCACCACCGTATTGCCTAGCACCCGGCCAAATCTCACGTTACGCGTCTTTGCTTCCTTACCGTCTCCAACAGTTCTGGGATCCACAGCCTCTAGCGTCTTGACCGCCAGTCCAAGTAATTTCTTGTCCTTGAAATGAAAAACCAGTGTTTGACCCACCGTCAGGGCCATGCCCGCGAACTGCATAATGAATTCCTTGGCCATTTCATCCGAGTCGTAGGGCTCCTGGGTGATGGTTTTCTTTTGCAGAAAGTCCGTTTCGAATGAGACCGATATAATGATGTCAGAGCTGGCATCGAACCGATAGGGGCGGACATCAATTTCCTGATTGATTGAGAGGGAGGCCCATTTGCGCTGCACCAGAGAGAAGCCCACATGTCCACGTGGCAGATCGGCGATCTTCTCCAGCGCAAATATATAATGCTGTCCAGGTCCCGGCGAGATGTCGACATATCTGTTAGTGATTCAACGAAACATGAAATAATGATTTAATAAGCTTTAATAAAGACGCCCACATCAAGCTGGCGTCATTTTATGAAATCATTCAAAAGTCAAACAAAAACAGAAACTCAAACTGACTTTACTTCCTCGGTGAAATCGGCAATATTGACGATTGCCTTGTTGGTTAGAGACAGTTCGTCTGTAGGACATTTGATGGCCTTCATTTTGTGCGCCATTTCGTTAGCCATTATTGCAGCACAAATCGATTAAAATTAATTTTCTAGCTCAATTTAATATTTACGAGGCGAAACTGTTTCCAAATACTGACTCACCAACAGCTGTTCGCACTGTTGTGCAGCCCTGGCTACAAAAAAGAGAAAAAAATAATATTTGGTGTACACACTGGAAACGCTTCTGCATTGGAAGCGAGAACAGCTGACCAAAAGAAAGTGAAAAACAAAAACAATATGGTCTGTATCTTAAATTGCCAATGTAAGCCGGCTTTGCTCGAATATATAATTTCAAGATTGCCCATTGTCATTGTCAGTCAAGATCGACATTTATATATAACTATTTGAATATAGCTATATATATTTATTTGTCATGTATTTAGCTTAAAAATGCTACTAATTAATACATTAGCATTAAGTATTATTGCACCTGGTGCTGTCGCGTTGTGCCAGTAGAATAACATTCTCCAGGGTAACATCGCGCGACACGTAAAACTTGAGCGACGCCTGGTAGCCATTTGCTTGTAAGTGCTTCAGCCGCCCGTAGTCTAGGACACGCTTGCATTGATAGCCAATAAGCTCGCGCTGCTCACGGCTTAATCTCTGCGTGGGCTCCTGTTGGGGCTGCTCCTCCTCCTGAGTGACTGCCTCCGCCATAGCTTTGCGCCGCTCGCGACTAATACCGCTGCCACACACAGCCCAGCTTACCATCTTGGTGATGATGACAAACTCTCGTGGTGTGATTCCTGCTGTTTGAAGCCACTTCTTGCCCACGTAGGTCCGCCAGGAGCACCGATGATGGCAGCATAGGGCTATTAATATATAATTAGTATTGCATGCTTCTTTGTCGGCCAGTACACAACGCAGGGTTAGGTCAGTTGCGGCGCCGCACAGGTGTTTTGATAGCGCCACATTGCGCTGGGTACGCTTAAGTTCTGGCAGTTGGGATATCTTGAGGTCCGCAATGTCAGCACGTATTCGCTGCACGAGCTGCTTATTACTCAGTTTGTTGTCCTTCTTGTGGCGCAGCGAGAGACGGTCCACCAACACCACCTGCGAGTTGGCAAACTGTTTCGTATCAAGTGCGGTGGCAAGGTAAAAGGCCAGTTGGCCTTTGCCTGCGCCGAATTCAATGTAGCTAGTGTTATCACCCAACTGTTGGTCACGTTCGAGTATGCCCAGCAATGCGGATGTCTGTACCAAATGCTTGCGTGTCTCCGGACCGTATTCGCTGTGGCTCAGGGGCTCCTCCAGCGATGAATGTTGCAGTTGAAGTTGCTCAATGTTGCCAGCTATATGTATGTCATATAGCTGTTTCACTTTGTCTATGACACTATAGAACTCTGCATCCTCCAGCTCGTGCAGCTTTAGCTTCTCGTATTCGCAGAGTTCTTGCTGTTTGTCAGATTCTAGTTCATCGCCTGCATTGACATTTTTCAGAATGTAGGGCAGTGTGTTGACCTGATCTCTGGCATTGCATATGGTCAGGTGCTTGGCCAGCTTTCGTTTGAACACTGTATGCTTGGGATCTAGTGGGCAGGGTATGCGCTCTGCTTCTGGGTTCTCTGCGGTTGCCTCACTTGGCGGCTCGTGCGCCCCGCAAAATATACTGCCCTTGCTCGGTTCCATTTTGCAGTACCTCTTCTTGCGAAGTACCCAGTGCGCACAGTTGAGTGCTCCCGGAGGAGCCGCCTTCTCATCCGTACTCATCTTGGGTTTCTTAGCGGCAATTGCTTCGGCCATGCCATCTATATCAATAATACGAAAAATCCTGAATCCCGCACGTGCCTTTGTTTACAATAATAAATGGTGGAATCAAGTGTGGCCGCATGTGGTACAAAACATAATACTAAAACACAAATGCACTAAAAACATAACAAAGGAATTGATAAATAACTTTTCACAATTAATGTAAATTCTTAAGCAAAAATGGCATGATCATTTGTAAAATTCGCTTAGCATGTGCATGGAATGTGTAGAAAATGCTTTATTACACAATTTTTAAATATTTTTTGAATAGATTGCGCGTTGCACTAGGTGGCAACGCTTAAGATAAATATCGATAGTAGCATATAAAGTATCGATAGTTTATTTAGCATTTGTTAAACACGGAAAAAAGCCGCGAGGCCCAAACGTTTTGGTAAATATTTACTCATTGTATAAATTAATAATAGACGATTACATTACAATTGGATAAGCTTCCATAAGCACATCAACATGTAAGTAAAACACTTGAACGCGCCGGTACAGCGCAGATTTAGCTTGCGGCCGGCATGCTCGTTGTTGTTGTGCCAAACAAACTGAAATCAACATTTTTTAGGGCTCTCGTAAAACCGAAATCTGAGTTGACGCCGGAGGAACTGGCTCGTCAGGAAGAGGAGGAGTTCAACACTGGCCCACTGTCGGTGCTCACACAATCGGTGAAGAACAACACACAAGTGCTCATCAATTGCCGCAACAACAAAAAACTGCTTGGCCGCGTCAAAGCCTTCGACCGCCATTGCAACATGGTCCTGGAGAATGTTAAGGAGATGTGGACGGAGTTGCCGCGTACCGGCAAAGGCAAAAAGAAGGTGAAACCCGTCAACAAAGATCGCTTCATATCGAAAATGTTTCTGCGCGGCGATTCTGTAATTCTAGTTCTACGGAATCCACTGGCCACGGCAGCCGGCAAATAGAAATCACAAAGCGAAATCCCATTCATTAAACTACAATCAATAAAACTAATTTGCAATTTGCTATAATAACGAATGATGTAAATTCAAATTATGTGGTAAACAAATGTAACATTCTATTCTACGGCGTTCATTGACCGGACGATAGCTGCTTGTTCAGTATGGGCACATACTCGTCATATTCCGCCAGGAAGAGCGTCCCAGCTATGGGCTGCCCCAGACGATGATGGTCCGCAAATTGTTTGATATGAAACTTGGGCCTGGAGCGACGACTTTTGTTGCTAACGCGAGATCCAGAGAATGTCAACTTCTTCGGTTGGCTGTACAACAGCAATACGTAGCGATGCAGTCCTGTATCCTTTGGTGGCCCGGCGCCTACATATTCAGCTATCGCATCACCTTTGGCCACATTGTTGCCGGGGATATTGACCACCAGCCAGTGCTTGAATTCACGGAGCTTATGATTCGATCGGCTGGGCGCATCCGGATCGACCATCGCCAACGTATAGTATGTATCAGGGTCGGCCGCCCATTCCACAGTGGGAATATTCTTTACCTGTGTAGGCGTCACAATATCGCCGCACATTATCATAAGCCGATTGTCGTAGGTGATCTTCAAGCAGAAAAATTGAAATTACATTTAAGATGCTACTGAAACTTTCTTTTTTGTTTTGCCACACCTTTAGCAGCTGTTCGGGAAGCTGGGACAAGACATCAGGCACTACGCCGTGCCACTTGAATGCATCCAAGTCTGGGTTGCACTGCACCGCAGAGAGCACGCAGACTATTGCCACAGACAGCAGCAACATGTTGTTTACTGATGTGTCGAATTAGTTATGCAAGACTAATCCGAGGTACAAGTTAACTTTGGCTCTTTATGAGACTCGGTGTATGTGAACTGATCGCTAGCGAGCTCTGTCCTCAACTGAAACCAGTTAGACCTGAGGCTTGGCTTATAAAACTCAGCAGCCATCGCTGCCAGCAGCTGCGATTGAACATTCGTGGAAATATGTTTAATAACACCTTTTTATTTTTCATTTTCAACAATGCACGCCAATTGGTTATCAACATTAATCGTGTGTACTCGCCAATTTAGTATAATAATTCTTATCATTTGCCCGACAGTTGTTTGTACAACTTGGGCACATATTCGTCCCACTGTGCCTGGTAGAAGTTGCCGGCAACTGGATTACCCAGCTGGTATTTGGACGCGAATTTAGACGTATTGAATTTACCGCGCTTATCACCGCTTGTTTTTGGAATGCGAGGCTCGTTGCAGGACAGCTTTTTCGGCTGCTTGAAGACCAGGAACACATACCGATGTAGACCTGTGCCCTGCGGCGGCCCTGAACCCACATAGGCACTGAGCACTTCACCTTTCTCGATTTGATTGCCGGGCACATTGACAACCAGCCAGTGATGCCATTCGCGAAACTTGGGCTCCTTGCGACTAGGCGCATCCGGATCCGTGAGCAAGACAGTATACAGGGCATCTGGCTCCGTGGGCCACTCGAGCTGTGGCGCTGCCTTCACCTGAGTGGGCGTCAGCTCGTTGCCACTGTTTGCCTCCACGCCGCCCGCATAGGTGACCTAATGTGAGGCATTCACTTAAGGACAGGTGATCAAGAAACAAGAAGCTGGCGAAGCTCACCTTGAGCAGCTCTATCGGTGCCACTTGCAGCACATCAGGCACAATCTTGTGCTTAGCAAAGAACTCGGCCATAATTACGGAGTTACGAATTGAGTAAAATTAAATTTGATCGACTGACAGCGTATATTTTCGTGATAGAAATTATTTACAGTGTATCTGATTTGACAATTAGCTGAATTCGTAGTTTAGCTTGAACTTAATTTATGCATTTCTTTGGCAATCCGATTAAAAACCGGCCACAGCTCGTTGCTCGGCTTGTTGATTACCTAAAAAGAGAGCGGTTTCCCGCTAGACTCAAAGTTGGCCTTGTGCAGCACGGGCACGTCTGTGCTCCATTCGCTGGTAAAGAAATTGCCAGCCAAAGGGAAGCCCAAATCATATTTCTTAACAAATGCTCGGGTGCTGAAGTTGGTACGGCCCTGATCGCTATGCTTGGGCACATGCTCCATTTCGAACTTTAGATAATCCGGCTGCTTATACAACAGAAACACATAGCGATGCAGGCCGCTGCTCTTGGCGGGCGTGGCACCGACATAGCCAACGCGCACATCGCCAAGGTGCATTTGGTTCCCGGGTATATTGACGATCAGCCAGTGCAGATACTCGTTGATCTGTGGCATTATTCCTGGCACATCCGGATCGGTCAGTATAAGCGCATAATAATTATCCGTGCCAGCGATCCAATTCACCTGCGGCTCATCCCGCACCTGCAAGGCCTGCAGCTGGACGCCACGATCAGCACGTATGTTACCCGGATATGTGACCTGTATAACCAAGAGGATAGACAGTGAGAGTGATTCTTTCTTTTGCTCGATGGCTGGAGCTGAACTTACGTTGAGAAAGTCTTGTGGTCCGACAGATATTAAGTCCGGTATAACATCCAAGTGCCTGAAGAACTTGCTGACATCTGTGTCCCGTATCTTGCCAGTGTCTGGCACGCAGCGGGCTATGTTGAGGCACAGCCAGAGGCAGAGCAAGCGTGTGCAATTGGTCCACATTTCGATTTCAGCATCAATACTGGCCGATATCTGGCGCTGGCAGCGCTTTATGTAGGCGCTCGCACCCGACCAACCCAGATTGCATTAGTGCTGAAAAACCGGCTGTCTCGGTCTAGGTCTGGTGGCCAGTTTGCCAAGTCTGCGGCTTGACTGTGCTGTGTTAAAACAGCTGTTGCTCTTTAAGCCCATGGCTAAGTGTCAGGCTGGATAAGCAGACACGACTGCTGTTATGCTTTAAATGCGTATTAGCTTACTAGGGCATATTGGTTAGCTGGCTAGGTATGTAACTGTCTAAGGTTTGGTAAAGTTTATAAACATCGTTTGTCGGGTTGATCTACATATATTTGACTGACTTTTTGTTTACCTCTTATTGCATGTGCAGCTTTGTTTTATATTTTTAAAAACTTTAAAAATATATATCTATATTTTTATCATATTATTATTAAGCTAAAGACATCAAATTTTAAGATTCTTAAAGACTCGCCTTGATTCCAAATATTTTCGATCTCGTAAGCTTTCACCTAGTCCTACCTTAAAATTTTGAGCCTCACTTTCCATATCAAAATTACAATTCTAATATACTTAAATCTGCCTTTCGTAAATCCAAATTTAAAAATTAAAAGCTTTTGAAAATAAATAGAAGTGTGCTGTTAGTAGATTATCTTCTAGCTATATACTATAGTTCTCTTTTAGTTGTTTAAATTTATGTGTACCTAGGAAAAGTTTGGCGTGCGTTGACGAAATTTCAATTTGCGGAATTTGCGTGACTATGGAACAGTAAAAACCGACAAAAATAAATCATGAAAATTATATATGCCAGAAACAGTTAGTAGGTCATTTAGTTCTATTTTATTGAGTGTGCAGGTAATTGTCGCAGTGTTTATAGCATGTTAACTAATATCATTACATCTGACAAATGTTGGCTAATATCTCGATTGTAACATTTGAATTGTGTTTGAAGCTTCACTCTTTACCACTTGGAAATTGGCGAAAGCGACCGTAGTTATAGAAAGGGTATCTCGGGCATCATGAATGCTGCTTTGTAATCACATTTAAGTGTTGGAAATTAGGCTAAGCGATTTGTTTGATCTGCAGTAATCAAGTTTTAGGTATCCGGTTCATATTCAAATACGTGAATCGAAACAATATGTATTATTGTTTTGTAGAACCTACACAGATTTAGTGATCAAATATAATTTGTGCTTCCTATGTAATCATAGTATTCATTATTTTGCGAGAAAAAAGCAATTTTCGTGATGAAAAACAATTTCTTTATATATATTTATTTATATATATTATATATGTTTTTATTATATATATTTATTCTAAAAATAGATTTCGATTGTTTTTCAATTTTTTTTTCAAAATATTCTCAACTGTATCAACATTTTCATGTCTTCGATCAAAATTCACAGCAGTTTTCAATTGTAAACTTATTTAATTGTTGAACCAGCTTTCAAAACATTCAAAGTTTAGAACTGGTTTTGTTATTTAAAACGCCTTTCTTTATTATTATAGACTTAGAATTATTTTATATACGAACGTTGCTTAGATTGCGACTATGACTGCTTTTTTTTAGATTTCAAACTTTGATAGAGCTTTAAAAATTATTATATTGCTTAAAATACTTTTAAAAAGTCACAAAGTTTTATTAACTTATTCGGTTTGCTTTTCAAAGACTTTAAACATGAAAAACTGAATTTATTTTGGTGATCGGAATCATTTTCCTATATAATATATATAATATATTTAATACATATATTATATGTATTATATTATATATTATATTATATATATATATTATATAGGAAATATATAATATATATATATATTATATATACCATTAAAGGACTATTTTTTTCTTAAAAACCCATGGCATACATATTTATATATATACAAAAATAAAAAAACCGTTTTTACTTTTCAATTTTTGCAATTTTTAATAAATTAAATAAATAATATTTCAATTAATTTGCTTGATTTTTGGTCGATTTCTGAGGGGAGAGAAGAAGAGTTTAAGTAGCGGAAAGTGCAGAGCTGGAAGCAAAAGCAGTTAGAAAGAGGCGATAGAGAAGAAGCGAGAGGAAGCGAAAGTAGATGGAGCATGGAAATGAATAGAATGGCTAAAAGTCGAGCGCTTAAACTTAACAACTAATTTTATGGCCTAGGCATGTTCCGGTTCCATTTGGTCTGCTTACTCAAAGTGCCACGGTGTGGCACTCAGTTCCTTGGTATGTACATTAACAGCGGCAGTATGATCTAAGATCTAAGATGAGGAGCTGTAGCTGGACGAGGTGGAGGCGCCGGACGATGAGCCCGAGTTGTACGAGGAGGAGCTGCTGGGGTGGTATGAGCTATAGGCCAGATTCTGTGAGTCCCAACGGGCATATGGGCCACCGCTCATGGGCTCCCAGCTGCTGGGATCGTAAGAGGAGGCGGTGGTGCTTGGCACACCGTATTCAGCTGCTGGCATTGGTGGTGGCATGGGCACCATGTTCATCTTCATGCCACCCAATTTCTGGATCAAATTGTAGATGAGGAAGCCGAGCACCAGCTTGATGGCAATCTTGGACAGGATCAGAGCCTTGGTGGCCTTAAGACTGACCAGAGCCAACAGAATGGGCATGATAACCTTCAGCTTGAACTTCATGAGCAGCAACAGAGGCAGCAAGAGCTTGTCCTTGTTCTTCTTCTCAGCACGGCCTGTCAAATTGGAATGAGAGTTAAGATTATAAATCTAGTTGGAGGCTAAGTATCGAGCGAAGCAGACGCACCTTCCTCCTTGGGCAGCTCCAAGTCGAAGCCACGATCGGAACGATAGGTCATCACCGAGCTGGAGAAGAAGGTCTCTGGCAGCTGGAGGCGCAGCTCGTTGGTGCGCAGAATGCGTGCCAGACGATCCACAATGACCTTATCGATGACATCTTCGTTGAAGGCGCGACCGCTGACCTCCTCCTCAACATTGGCGACCGTGTCCAGATAGGTGAGCACCTTCTCCTTCAGGCAATGCATGGCATTGGCATGGAAGCACTTATCCACAATGGTCGAGATGAGCTCATCCGAGCTGTGGATGCGGGGTGTGACCGCATTATCAATGGCAGCACCCTGAACAGACGCCGCCAGCAGCAGCACACTACCGAACGCGATGAAGGATGTGAAACGTTGTGCCATTTTGATCAGATTTTCAAATATCCACTTGCTATATATACTAACTATATATAAGTATATCTATTTACACTACCAGAGCGCGTAGTGTTCACTGCGATGCCGTTGCGACGACAATGTTGAACACTTGTGCCACTACCGACGATTTTATACCGAGAGACGCGTCAGAAGACCCGTAGCCACTGCATTCGACATAAGTTTTGGAGCGCACAAATATATTTTTGGACAGCTACACGCCGTCGAGCTGACGAAAGCCGTTGCCGAACCTTGGCTCAAGCTCTTCGGGGTGTCCAAAGTTTTTCACCAAACTATTGGATCGGCTCGCTGATATCTGGGTTGACCAGCCCAGAGACTCCCTAGCCACATGCAAGCTTTCTCGCTTTCCATAGCGGCCATACGTACATACGAACTCCCCCCACCAGCACTCAAGCCCCCGCTCGAAGTGCTGATCAAAGTTGCATTATCGACGACCGATGAAAATAACTTTTGTTTCCCCCAATTAGTATGCGCGGGCTCAACTCTTACGCGAACAACACATGAAAGCCAGACCCAAGACATAGCCCATGACGGAGCCAGGTCCAGGGCACGTACATTGTTCGGCGTATTGTGTCAAATTTCGATACAAGAAATCAGTACGGAACTTGTCTACGTTTTGGTATTGGCCATTTGTCCATTTTGGCCATTTGATGCGTATTAGGCCATTTGTTTATCGTCTATGCGGAACTGCGAATCGAATTATTGTCATTTTGCTTGTTTCTGTTTCTGGGCGGGATTACGAAATAGGATTTGTGCTGCCACTTGTGACATATATATTTATGACACGTTTCAATGTGGGTCAACGAAAGTGAAGAAATCAATAAATTTAATTTTCTTTACACATTTCTTAACCTTTTCATTGATTAAGGAATCAAATTTAATTTTGTTGGCTAAAAGTTTTTGCAGCTTCTGTATTACTTGGAAGTTTGTCAAAACTTAGTTTAGATGGGGTCAGGGTTCGAATCACAACAGATGCCGGTCTGTATAATTGATTCGAAGGACAAACACTTAGATAAGGCTATCAATATTTATAGCATTGCAGGCAAATCTTTTATATTTAATGTATATAAAAGAAATTATATATTTTTTAAAAAAATTATAATTATATAATTTAATTTTTTTTGAATGACATTAGTGAGCTTAACGCACCGAAGAAAGAGAAAATACTCAAGGCATATAAAAACAATAAATTTTTATATATTTTAGACTATATTATAATAACATTTTAAATATAGCATAATAAGATATATATATATATATATATATATGCATATATTTAGCTAGACAAACATTTCAATAATATTCCTTAAATAAAATAATTTTAAAGTGTGCCATAAAAAAGGCAAAGCAATTGGAATGTGAAATGAAATTATGAGACGAGTGCTGAGCATTAATAAGACTTATTTCTTATGCAGCATTGGTTTGTGCTGTCTACACATTGCTTGAGTTTGTTTTCATAAAGTTGATTTATTAAATATACAATTTATCATGCATAATTTGAAGCCGAAAATTTACTTAAATTGCTCTCAATTGCAGAGCAAGTTAGATATCGTAATATCTCTGAGAAAAGTGTTAACTTTGCAAGCAAATAATGAACGCAGAGTTGACGGCTGACAACACTCGTAGATTACCTAACTGATAATGTGAATAATGCAACAGGTGTCGTTGTCAGCGTCACACGATCTGTTATCATTCGATAAAAGAAATTTTGTTGACGTTTTCGAGCGCCACACTTGGCTCGATTCGTGCCAAAATTGAAAAACAATCGAAAATGCAGTCAAAGGAAAAAAAATGAAAACAAGAAACGAGTAAAAGTGACAGGAATGCCTGACTAAAAGATACCTGGGCGAAGATATCTTGCAGAGCACAGCACTAATGACCCTTTGAATGAGGTCTATTTGTATTGCAGGGTATTCTATGTGAGTTATATTGATAATCTGTACACTGAAAAGGAGGAAATTAAGGGAATGAAAGGATAAATAATTAACCCAAAAATATTGTCGCTAAATGACTTACATGCAGTTCAAAGAATACACAGAGTGAGATAAATAGTTGACAAAATAGAGGGCAGAAAATAAGGCCGCATAAATAAAGGCATATGTAGGAGAATACACAGCAATAAGAACTGAACTACATCAAGTCAACTTTATTTATGAGCTGCCTTTCGCCAATGGCCCATACGCAAAACTTGCTTAACTTTTATTATCCACTTGCAGCTAGTACAGGGTATATCAGAGTGTAAAGATGCTATAAATTTCCATATGCTCGTGTGGCTATGCAATCTCCTGCTGAATGCCAAATTGTTATGAAAGCAACGCAACGAAGTGCGAAGCCAACTGTCCCGCAACTTCAGCTTTCCCCTGCCTTCACTCCGCCACGCCCCTCGCACGCACGCACTTCAAATTGTCAACTGAATTTTTAAAGTTTTTCCACTTGGCTAGCATGGCCTAGCTGTTCAACAATTTATTCGCTTTATTGGCCATAAGAATGCGCCTGGACCAGCTGCTCGTATACTCTTTGTCCTTTATTGCTGTAAATGAAATTCAAATGTGTGGAAGTGCGCTGAAGCCTAAGAATTTTAGGTTGACTTTTGTCATGGGGCGCTGCACTTAGGCTGCGGTCCATTCTGCTTCAGCAGCTGCCTATCGATTAGAATATGGAAAGACTTTCACTTTCGGCCGCAACTTTCATCGGGCCAGTGAAAAGAAGTCACTTAAAAATTAAAATTAAAGACAAGTTCGTCGAATTAATCGAGCCAAGTGCAGACTGGAATATTTAATTAGACGCGTTGCGCCAAAGAATTTGAGCCACTTAAGTTAGGCTAATTAGGACGTCGCCAACTGTGTCTTGGCCCCATGCATAATTGAGGCGCAGTGAAACTTTGGACTCGGCCAGTTAGTTGAAGGCAGCCGTAAGTAGGCTACACTAAATTAATATAATTTACTTAAATTTGTAGGCATTTATTTGTGTTCTTTTGGTATTTGTGTTTTGATTTGTCTTTATCTTTTGTTTTGTTTTTTTTTTTTTTTCAATAAATAAATAAATAGGTTTTACATATATAGGGTCTAAAGAATGCGCCCAAATCAAGTCACAAGAAAAACAAAAACAATTTTTCTTTTTAACAATTAACAACATTTTTGTGGCCTGCTCTTGTGGCTTCAGATTTGGGATTAGACATGGGCCTGGTAGGCCAGCTCCTGGGCCAGCTGCTGGGGCTGCTCCACAACGGAGGCGGGCAGCGCGGCGCCAAAGCTGCGACCGTCCCACGGTCCGTGGGCGGTGATGTGGGCGGTATGATGATGATCATGCGCAATCTGTGGGGGACAGAACAGAGCAGAGCAGAGATTCGGGTTTAGAATATGAGCAGTTGTCCGAGTTGATGGCACATTTTTGGGTTTGCTTTTTCTTGATTTTAGTGGGTGCTTTTAAGGAGGGTGTTGAGGAGGAGGGTTTTGGACTCGGGTTGCTTTTTTCTTGGTAGAACTTACCCAGCGCACGCGCCACTTTTCTTGTGTAACTATACATACGTGCTAATATTTAAGTAATTGTAATTTGAATATAACCCGTCGCCCTCTCCTCTCCTCTCTCTCACAACTCACTCATTCGCACTCACTAATTACCGCAGCCCGCGAATGCCTAAAAGATAATAGAAATGGCGTTTTTAATAGCTGAACGGTCTTACCTTTTTGCACAATTGGAAAATGGCCAAACCAACCGAGACAATGAAGGAGAAGAAGCCGAGGGCGAGCGCATTGAATGCCTTGATCTTCAGTATGCCAATTGCCATGGGTATCACGGTGATGGCCTTCAGCAGAATGAGCACCAGAATGGGCATGGCCAGCTTGCGTAGACGATGTTTCTTGCCTAAACATAGAAGGTGTGTGCGTGTGCAGGTGTTTGTTTTTTTTCAGTTTAGCTGTTTATGGCCTTGGCTTGAGGTAACCCACCCTTCTTGAAGATGTTGCCCTTCTTACCCCTGGCTTCGATATCGGTAGCATCGTCATTATTCAGCTGCAGATTCAAGCTCAGCTCGTCGTTGGCCAGATTGCGTGCCGAGACGGTGATCTTGGCATCGGCCAAGGGCAGATTAAGGCTGACATCATGGCCGCTCATATAGTTCTCAATGGCATCCAGGAAGCCGTCGCTAGTGCTGGCGCGTGCCTCGCTGATCGGAGCCACCTTCTGGCCATTTGTGCGCACCTCCAAATTGGACAGCTGTAAGTGATGAGCGACTTATGAAGAGAGAAAGAGAGAGAGAGAAAGAGAGAGGTGTTTGCTTACCTTGAAGCTGTCTTGGCTCAACACATTGTCCACGAAGCGCATGGCGCGCTCTTTAATGCACGCCATGGAGTCTTGGCCGCTGGCGCATTTGCTCTGCTCCTCGGCTATCAGGCGCTGCATTTGAGGCGCTGTGGCGCCCTGTGCGGCTGCTGCCAGGGCTGTAATGCCCACAACCAGAAGGAGCAATTTGGCCATTTTGTTTGGCTTGCGTATATTTTTCGTATTTGTACTTGACGCTGGGCACCACACACAACTCGCCTCAATGCTGGCACAATTGAGTTTAATAATCGTTTTTCTATTGTTCACGATTTTTATACTTGGCCAATGTTTCTTTGCGAGACTCGGTCGGGCCCCCGCTCGGCTGCCTGGTCGTACGCAAAGCAAAAGAAACATGGCGGAAGAAGACATAAATGAAGCAGACAACGAAAGAGGCAGAGCAGCATTGCATTGTTGTTGTTGCTGCTGCTGTTGCTGTTGCTGTTGACGGCTTTGCGGGCAGCGCGTGTGCGTGCCTGAACACCACGTGTCGTATACTTAATACGGTTTTATTTCAAACGCGTGCCGCTCTCTGCCTATCTGCTTGAGCGTTGCGTTTCATTTGGTTAACTTTACTTTGATACTAAATGCATTTTCCTGCTGGATTTGGAAAAAGGTCTGAGGCGCCAAATTGCTTCCAAACATAGCCCAAGGAAATTGAAGAAAACTCTAAGCGAGCAGCAAATGCTATTAGGGCACCATTTACGTATGCTTTTGAATAGTTAACCAAGTTTATGAATTGCACGTTTTTTGCGCTTTAAAAGGCAATGTGAGCGAGAGGATTAGAGAAACAGACTCTGCACACAAATGCATTTTCAGCTGGCTAACGAAGTTTAATGTTTGGTTTCACTTCATTATAATGATTAATGGAAATAAGTTGCAGCGGCTACAAAGCTTAAGGATGATTAACTATTGGTATGTGATGGCTAAGAACTAATAGAGTATTGCAAATAAAAAGCAACTGCTTAGAGTACAATAAGTCCTATATGCTGGCTAGCAATGTAAAGGGGAAGTATTTAGTGTGGATATGGAAATTGATATATTAGAACGCTATCTGCTAGCTCTATAACTGTATTATATCTTTGAGCTGAGATGCATTTAAATTTGGTAAAGTGATATCAAATATGATAAGCTATACCTCAACAATAAATATTTGACTATAGTCAAATTGCAGTACTGAAAAACTTGTGTCATAGATTTACTAAAGAAGTCTCCGTTCTGGATCTTTAATACAGAATTAAAATAATAAGAAATACCTACTACAGTAGACCTTTCAAAGCCCATTACTGTATGTTCAATGTATAAATTATATGAATTAAATATAGCACATAAAAAAACAAATTTTTATATAAAAAATAATAAATTGTATGTTAATTAACATAGGTTAATTTCTGAATAGCTATATGGAACATCAAACATAATTAAGTTCTATAAAAAAGCCATTAAACAGAATTGTAAATGAACAAAAATGTCGGGCATAAAATTGTGCATGCCACATTGTGTGGCTAGCAGAAAGATATGCAACACTTATTTGTGGTAAGCAGCACGCAGATCGCATAGGCGCATAGGCCGTTCGCTGGTTGCTAAATAACTAGTCATAAAGTAAATGCAACGCATATTTTATACAGTAAATTGTGTAATTAATAAAGAAATAAATAATAATTAATAATTAAGCGCTGAAGTTGGGTTCGACGCTGAGCCAGAGTTGAGCAACAGCTCGGCGACACTGAGCCCATGTCAATGATGTAGAAAGTGATTTTCCTTAACGAAAGCGAAAGTGACAGCAGATACGCCGTAGATACGACTCGCCAACAGCACCACCCAACCACCCAGCCACACAATCAGACAACCACTCAGCTACACACGCCGACGACACGAGCTGCATATCGAAATATTCGTGTTGCAACATGTAAATTATGAATCTCGTATATTGATTACGCTTTTAGCCTGCCACGAAAATGGAATTGATATCAGTTTAATTCAGCGCATATATGTTTTTATTTTTTGTTTATTTTTTAGTTTGTAAATTGTTAACTCTTTCGGTGAAGCCAAAGTTTCACCACGCGTTGGCGCTTGATTTGCAATTCCGAGCGCATTTTGGCAGCCGCCGAATCCCCAACATTTGCCAATGAAATTGGAAAAGTTGATTTTTTCCCCTTTTCGCATATCAAATTGTTGCGTAGAAACGGCCAAGCGATAGCAGTCAAGTTAAATATCAATGAAGTATTGGCCAGCCCACGAAGCCATACACACTATGGCTGATGTTTTTGCCCTGGCTGATATCGAAAAGGGGTAACAAGCTTCTGTGCACACGTATGCAACTGGAAGGAGAAGCAGGCATCAAAACACACTACCAAGAGTTCTTGGCCTTTGATGAAATATCTAGATATGACAATGCCTGTCTATACATATGTAAAACACGTCTGTGCTTATCTTTTCTAGTCTGTCTTTCAGTCTGTCTAACTGCCTGTCGCGTCTACTCTGTGTGTGTTAAAAAAGCTAGACACTCTAAATTTGATATTCACATTTGCTTAGAGTACAAAAAGTGATGGCTTTTCGGCATTAGCATAAAATCGATATATATATAATATATACTTTGAATTTGTTTTCTTTTAGCATAACTCAAAGACTTTAAGAGCTTAAGTCCTTAAATTTCAAGTAACTTGAAAACACATTTTATATAAATAAATTCCTTATCGACATCATTTTCGCTTAAGATTTATAGCTGCAGAAATATATGTGAAGTAGGCAATTAGAAATTTAGTAACAGCAACTTCAGGGTATCTTCAGGTCGAGCATAGCCAATCAGAGCACTCTGAACGGTTGTTGCTGTCAGTGCTTGCTGTCACTGCTGCCGTTGTCACTGCCGTGCTGTTGTGGTTGCTGTGGCGTCGGTTGTTGGCGCTGGCGCCATTTTGCATAGTTGCACGCAGCTTTTGTCGCTGCTGTCGCTGTTGGGAGCGCTGCAACTTTCTCGATGGCCACGTGTGAGTGCTTAAATGTTCCACTGGCAGCTATTGATATTGAAAAATAAACGAGGCGAAAAGTACAAATAAAATACGAAAAATATCCATTTTCATTTGTTTTACGAATGTGCCAAAAAAAATAAAAGAAGTAGAAAAACAAATTGAAAACTGCAAGGGCTGCAAGGATGTGGCGCTTGTCAAGCTGAGTGTGTGGCACGTTGCGCTTAAGGGCTGTGTTGCAAATACTTTAATGCCACAGTCGTTGCCTCAATCTGGCCTAGCTGGAGTTGGCTTCATTTGTTGCCTTGTAGTTGGCCAGTTCTTGGTGCTTTTTTGTTTGTTTGCTTTTTGGCCATCAAAGGTTAAGTGCGTTTGGGGCCCGGCTAGTTAAGGCATTAGGCATTAGCAAGTAACTGCGAGTGCCCTAATTAAGCGCCTGTTACATTTGCTAATTACAGTTCACGTTGGCTCAACAAACTTTTGCGTCCAATACCTTCAATTAGCCAAATGACTTTTAGCTTAGTTTTTATTGCACATATTTATGCTCGCCCACTTTCAACTGTCAAAACATATTCAGGATTTTCCTTTTTCCTTTTATGGATTTTATCTTACTTTCAGTTTTGTTTTTCTTTTTGTTTTGTACATTTCATAAATAATAAATAAATAAATAAATAAAAACAATACGTTGCACTACTTAAAATAGAGCCAATTGTAGAAGTCCTCTCATCATGTTGCCTTTCGATTTCAACGTCTTTTCTGTGCCGCATAGGCCATGTCCTGTGCGTCTTGCGGCTCTTGGGAGGAGCGTGCCCAGGCATGGGGGTCCCAGGCGGGCGAGGGATGCTCCAAGTGCTCAATGTGCTCCACGGGCAGATCCACATGGTGATCCAAATGATGATCCAGATGATGATCAATGTGATGGGGCACAATGTGCTCGATGTGATGTGGCACAATGTGCTCGATGTGATGCGGCACCACATGTTCAACTTGATGGGGATAGTGCACCACTTCATAGTTAACAATCTTGGGCTTGGCTATCTTGAAGATGACCAGAGCACCGGACAGCACCAGCGAGAGCAGACCCAGCGTCATGGCCTTCCAGGTCTTCAGCGCGATCAGACCAAGAACCAGCGGCATCAGCACTGTGGTCTTCAGTTTGAGACCCAGCAAGAAGGGCAGCACAGCCTTGCGGATCATGCCACGTCCTGTGGAAGAAGTCGTGTGAGTACCCACATTAAAGCTGGCTGGGATCAGACTTACCCTCATTGGCAGCGCCGAGTGGTATCAGACCGCCTTGGGTCAGGGGATTCTGCAGCAGATATTCGGGCACGATAGAGCGTGCCTCGGAGCTGCGGAAATATTCGGGCGCCTGAATTTTTAGTGCATGGCTGGCCAAGTAGTTGTCGATGTTGTCGAACAGCTGCTGCTGCTGCTGCTCGGCGCCCTGCGCACGACCGGTAGTGGTGCTGGCCTCCGGCTGCTGTGTGGTGCGCACCACCGATAGACGCTCAGTTAACCTCACCTCGTTCTGTTGCAGCGCTGCGTTGAACCACTGCAGCGCCTTGGGACGCACACACGAGATGCTCAGATCCTTGAGGCAGCCATGGTACATGTCCAAGGCCAACTGCGTGGCCGATGGCGTTGTGGGTTGCGTTTGGGTGGTCGCGCTCTGGGCGGTGGCGGCCAGCGCGGTCAAGGCGCCAATTAGCCAGACGTAGCTCTGCATCCTGTCAGTGTGCGGTATATCGATCCAAGCTGCTGCTAGCTGCGCACGCGTTGGCGACTCAATGGGTTATGCAAATGTGGCCCGGACAGCGCTTGGTTTTTATACGTCGGTACTTTGTTAATTGAATTGCGTATGCGACATACGCGTCGCTCTTTGCGGGCTCCGCTTCGGCGTTCAGCTTTATTGGCCATTGCGTTTTGTTGTCAAAGTCATGGAAAGCGCAAGTTGTAGCAAGTTTCACCTGTGGCTAGCCAGAGGTCTGGCTGCGGCACATACCAGCTGCTCTCTGATTCTATAGGCTACGGTTGCTTCTATTGGGTCAGCGGCTCGACACTTTATGGTCATGCCCCTGCTAACTGTTTGACTGTCTGACCGTCTGGCTGTCCATTTGCCCCTGGTTTAATCAGGCATAATACTCACCATATCATTCCGCACATAATTGAAAGTTATTTTATGGCTTCAGCGCTTCGGCTTTGTCGTAAACTCAACTTCCCCAATCCAAGGTGCGTGCCTGGCAACTCAATTAGAATGCGATACGATATACGAAGCGGCTGTATCTGCATTAGCTAAAGGCCACCTGTAAAGCCCACCAAATGCACTTGAAGGCGCGGCTATTGGAAAACAAATTTATTTTTTCGAATAGCCAACACAAAAAGGGAGGGCATATATGATTCTAAAGAGACTTGGGCAGTTATATGGAAAATAAATCTATTATATAAGTATTGCATTTATAAAATGTAAACCTTTTCAGATTTGTTTATTTGGTGAGGCAAGAATTTGATTGCTTTAAATGTTATGATTGATAATGTTTCTTTTCTATTCGAATTATGCTTATGAGTAGTTTTACATAAATGTTTATAATAGGGAAGTGCTCCTATGCTCTAACACTCACACTTCAAAACAGTCTTTACCTTATAACTACTCGCCCACAACTCACACCTCATCGAACACCACATAATTATATAAATAATTCAATTTATCAATAACAATTTACATAGATGAAATCTCAACTGTCAGATCTATTCATCTGGAAAAACACAATCATAGCAGTCTGCAGAAATTTACATAATATTTACTGCACCATGTATCACATTAATTTTAATTTATTATATTTTTAGTCCTATCAGAACTAATTTTAATTTGGTAACATCAAAAAAACCTTGGTCAGCTAGCAACCAGAAATGAAAACTTTTTGTGTAAATATAAATTTTGGCTTGAAAAATAAAACTTCCTAAAGCAAGAACTTGAACCGTAGCCGAAACCATAGGCAATTTTTGTAGGCTTCAACTTTTGATTAATGACTACAGTATTTAATACAAATCAAACTTTAAGCAGCAGCCAACGAAGCTTGTCGCATTTATTAAAGCTTATGCTAAGGTGCATCATTTCCTTAAAATTTGCTTTACGACTGGGCAGGCATCTAATATTTATAGTTTGCTCTGGCTCAGCTCGTCAGCGAGAACGGAAAACAGCTGTACTTAAAATTTCCCCAGGCTGCTAAATATACTTGAGTATGTACAAGTAAAAACAATCAACCTCAAATGCAAATTTAATTCAATTCATTTCCTCCTATTGCCCAAAGTGTGTTTTGTTTAAATTTTAGGCTAAGCGCGAGCTAGACATTCAAATTTGCTTGTTATAAATAGATTGAATAAGAGTGGAAGTTGAATGTGTTTTCCAGAAACAGCCACACAAAGACATTTTAAGCGTTGAGCTGTAAAATGTTGTTGCCAACACTTCATATTAAATTGTCTCTTAATACTCGAGGGAAGCACTCACATCTCTTGATTAAATACTATTTATATGTCAAATAGTTCCACACATTGTCTGCCTTGCTTGTAAGGGTATGTGCTGCGCCGATGCTACCCCATTCTTAAGCTGCTGTCTGTTAACGATTTCTTTTGTTTCTTTGATTTGTCTATGAGTTTGTTATGGGTTGCGTATAACGGAAATATAATCGTAGCGGCCAAAATTAAGCCAAGCCTATGTTGGGCTGGGGCTAATGAGGGAGCTGGGCGGCTTGATATCATTTGGAATGTGTTCAAATACTTTTACTGCTGTGGCATTTAATAAGCCATCTGCTTGGCAATTGGTGTTTTGATGTCAATGCAGTCAAATAAAAATATTTTCTTGTGCCTTTGCTTCCGCTTTAAGTTTCCTTTTCTGCTCAAGAATTCTCTTGCGAAAGTAAAAGCATTGACATTTGCGTGTTAATTGCGGACAGAAGTGCATATATATATATATGTGTATGATTATATATTCAGAGCTTTTCACTTGACTTGTTTTTAGAGATCAAAGCCAAACTCAGAAATTTCAATAGCTTGCCTAATAAATATATTTATGTTAATGAATTCCTCTTAATTTCGAATGTTGCAACAATTGGCAGCACGCTGCTCTTGACTGTCCTTGACGCACTGATTTATGCAAACGGAATTATTTTTTATTGCGTATACGCAATGCCGACGCTGCGTATGAGTGATTTCACAGCATGACTAATTCTAGGGAACCAGATACGCCAGAAAAACAGCACCAACACATTAGCTAAACTCAACTCATATGTGAAAGAACACTACAGAGTGTTGTAGAGGGAGTAACCGACGTAGAAATACCCTGTAATACAGCTGAGAGATGTGATGTGATGTGAGCCAAACCTATGTATCTATGCAGCAAGAGAGTAAAGTAAATACTAAGGAATGCAGAATAATAGGCATGCCTTTGCCAGACAGGTTTTAGGCATCTCATGGAGTTCGAATGGCATCATCTTAGCGTAGAAAAGGTAGTCCGGACTACAAACGCTGGCGTCGGCTATTCAGGAATTTAATTTGCCACGGTCCAGGCTGAGCCGAAGCTCTTCTTGGAATTTGCCTCGAGTAGAATAAACTAAGAAATCAAGTTAGCCACACCAGAGACTGTTTTTTGCTGTACTCCTGAGCAGCTAATCTTAGGCAAAATGCTAGTAGAAAAAAATAATCTACAATCTGAGAAGAAAATGGATAATGTATTTTGAGCTACAAATTTGATTAGTATTCAGCCGTCTGGCCTAAGCTAAATACTGTTAAGTTTTGTTTCTATACATAGAATGACCCACAGCAAGGAAGGCACACAGTAGGCGCTTAACTTACTTAATTGGTGCGTGGGCGTCAACTTAGCCAGAACTCAAACGTTTTGTGGAGGTAATACAGATTAACCTTTACCCTCCAATTGTTATAAGTACTTACCTGAGATAAGTATTGTAGTGTGTGAAACAATGTCAAAGGACGAACAATTTATGAGACATTTATGCCTTGATGTAGTATATTTAGATCAGCATAAGTGTCCGGTTTAGCGTTAATCTGAGTGGCTTAGACAATGCTCGAACAAAATATGTAAGAGCTAAATGAAGCACCCAATTAAATAGTTGGCTAATACTGCGAACACTGAAATGTGCCTGAATAGTTATTTCTTAGAATATTAGGAAAGTATAGAAAGATTTGTCTACTCTTTAAGGCATTCAGTCAAATGTCCGAGGCTGCGATTGGCTCTTGACATTGTGACTCTTTAAGCTTAGTCTGGTTACAGTCAATCGAATAAGTAGTCAAGAAACTCATAAGAGCTATGAGTTATTAAGGATATTACATAATGAAGAAGAAGTCTGCAGTAGTCGCTAAGGAGGAACAAGAACAATACTAGGGAAAGCCATCAGAAATTGACCTTTACATTCCTCTGTAACTTCTTTTATTATTTAAGTCAATTCAGCCATAGACTTAATTTTTTGTAATTCCAATGAAAATGAAACTTTAATGGTTTCTTTAAAATTCAAGTTAATATTCTAATAAATTGTGTTATCACTTACCTAGCTACATCACAGACTCATATCTTTATATACTTTTTTTTTTGTTTTCAGAGGGCGTTCAGCTTAGATGATATTTGTGAAGTAATTGAATTTTTAAATTGCTACAAATTATACGTAGCACCAAATTAAACGTATGCCAAAAATAAACTAATTCCAGTATTTAGTTGCACCAAAATAATATTTAAATAATTTTCTTTCACTTCTAGCTAAATGAATCAGCATCAAATTTAATTAAAGATAAACTCTGGTATTTCAAAAAGCAAATAAACTTTCTTAAAGCCTCAACATGTTAAGATTTATTAGCCAGCTGAAATCACACACTCAGTGCCATCCAAAACGGATTTAATTCAAAAGTATGTGACATGAACGAATCCATTATCCAAATGGGCATGCGAATGTTTGTTTGTTTGTTTGCCCCATTCCTTCAATAGACAGCATGGAAAAACAATATACGTAATCATTGCCCTGTTTGTTTTTATTGAAACAACACAGCATAACAATTAAAATGCAGCCTATCATACAGATAGTAATTGATTTTTCGTATTTTCGACGTAGTTTAATTTGTTTTTGTTTTTCTTTAAAAAATGTAAACAACAATAATTCTATGGACTATAGAGCTGGGGGCATTATCTCGTTTTTAAGCCTCGATTGTCTTTTAATTAATGCAAATCCTGATTTCATTTTTGTTGTAATGACACAACAGCTATGCTTACAGAATTTAAGCATAACTGTTTTACAATAAAAATATGTAAATTTGATAAATTTGTAATAAAAATTGCAACAAAATCAGAATGAATATTAATTAAATTGAGACACTCGAGAGTCGACTTAAATTACACACACAAAGGCTTAAGTAGGCTTCAATAAATACATAAATACATAAATAAATAAATAAATAAAGAGATTAACAATTAATGCTTAAATTGTTTAAGTAATTCGCATATTCACAGTTCGACTTAACAAGGAAATGTTGACTCAAATTAATTGATTGCAGCTGCCGCAGCTGCTCGCCAAGCTTATCGCTTCGCTGGCATATTGCACTGTGGGTAGAGGCTCGGGCAATCCTTTTGATCCTGCCCATCCCGGGCGGCTTGGATGAGTCGGTAGAAGCGACGCACTGCCTCATTCGCATGCGTCACGGGTTCCAGCTCGTTCGTCTCTCTGAAGCAAACAAAAGAGCCAAAAATAATTGAAAGGAAAATGGAAAATTGCGTTAATTCAATTAATTTGATAGAGCAGCTGCTTGACTATATTGCAAAACAGTCAGGAACTGGGCTAATTAACTTTGCCGCATTGAAAGTAAACTTTCTCTAGCTATGCCAAAGGAACGCGGCATTCACTTATACTTTGACCAGGTCTCCCCGTACGTGTCCTCTTTGTGTGTGTGCGTGGCTGTCTAACTAAGCATCCATAGCTCCAGCCCTTTAGCAACTTTTCTTCTCAGCATTAAACTTGCTTTTTGCCTCCTGGAAATGCTATGGGGTATTGTAGTTTTGGCTTTCAGCTTTGCAACTTGAGGCAGCCCATAACAATGCCAAACAACAGAGCACTGCAGCAGCTAATGGATTTTTCTCCACAACTGAATTCCGAATTCATATCCTGCCGAAAGGCAACTAAAAAGCTACTCAAAGTGCCAGAAGTACGAGCGCGATGTGAGACGTGCGGCCACATACACACACTGCATAGCCAATTGCTGCGGCGAGGAAGGGCGAGGGTAGTGAGGAAGGTAGACGCACGTGGGCGAGTTGGAAGGGCCATGATATGAATGTCAGTTAACGTTTGTCAAAGAATTTATTTTAAATTTCACTTAAAATAATTCGAAAGACTCTTACATTTCAATGTCAGCGCAAATTTAAATGGAAAATGGTATTCAGTTTCATTCTAATTGGGGAAGAAACATGTCTACGTGAATGCACCTCAACTGCGTTGAGAATGAGCAAGAGAAAAAAAAAGGCAATAAAAAGTAGAGATAATTTAATGCCTTGATTCAGGACACTTTTTTTTAATTAGTTGAAAGATAGCCAATTTACTATTTTATTCCTCTGTTTGAAGCCTGAAAACACTTCTGCTGCTGTTCGAATTTCTTTGACTTATTTCTGTTTTCTCTCCAACAATAGCGAAGCAATCGCCTGAACAGCTCTCAAAGGCTATTGCCACTTTAAAACTTATTCTGTGTGTATTTCTTGGCAGCTATTTTAATTAATTTCCTAGCAGCCGCCATTGTCTTGCCTCAAACAGGCTTCCCTCGCGGTTAAGATTTGTTTTCGCCTGAAATTCTGTTTTTTGTGTTGTTTGAATCCTCGAATGCGTCTGATAAGATTATTGAACGCACTTGGGGCATTTAATTAATGATGTGCCATTAACATAAATGTTCATAAATCACACAATGCGAACTCGCCCAGCGCCTGGCACAACGCCCACGCATCACTCCTGAAGGTATGCCACATTGTCGCCGCTGGCACAGGCCAAATTTCAGATTTGCTGTTAAGTGTCAACAAACTTATCAACAAATTTTACGATCCAAATTCACGTTCATTGTCTGTGCCATGTGCTGCGTGTAGACATAAATGTTTGTGCAAAACAAAGCCAACTACAGAAGCCGCAAAAGCCGCTGCGGAGATACCCTGTAGTCTGATTGGTTATTTTTTGCCAAGCTAATAAAAGAACGAGTCACGTATATTAAATAGCTCACATAACAAATTTTGATACATCTAGCTCTTATAGTGTCTGAGTATGTTGAGCTTTTGCTATTCTGCGTTTCAAGCTTACATAAATATTTAGACTAACATGACTCGACTTTATTAGAGTTTATAAGAAACTATGAAGCATGCCTTAGTAAATGGCAGAGTGCATGAGAAACTTAGTGTCATGCAGTTTACAGGGTATAAGAAAATTATGAATACATTTATCTGGCACGCATGAGCGCATCTCAGTTGCCAGTTGACCGTCGCGTCGTCAGTCAATTATGAAAATGCGTTGCGTGTGGGTGGGTGGTTCGGGTGGGTGGCTCGTGTTGACGCCGCAACGTGGGCTTTCCACGTGGCTGCCCAAGTGCAGTGTGCAGCTTGCAGCTTGCAGTGCGATTAGCAGAAGAAGTGAGAAGACAGAGAGTACAAGATGAAGCGTGCTGTGACAAATGCTGCACGCATCTATAAGAGCATAGGATGAGGGATGAGGGGTAAGGGCTATGAATACTTTCTTTGTTCACGCCCATTGATTGAAAAGTTTTGTCGTCTGCGACGCATCGCCTCAAGTTTTCACCGCAGGGTAAAGAGAATGCATTAGCAGAACTTGGAAATTTCATGAATGACATTTTGACTGGCCGACATTACAATTTGCTACGCGCGACTCAAACTATTAGAGCACAAAATCACATTTATAACACTTGACGCTTTAATAGAGCTGACAGCTCTGCAGCCAACTGAGCCAAGCTGAATGCTCAACTGACATCTGCTCTAATTGAACTGATATACGTACCGACTGAGCTCCGCTGATATGAAGTTACTGTGCGGGCTGTATGTGGCCGGATCCTTGTACATGCTGCAGACGACGCGTTCCTTGCATAGATCGCTTTTAATGCCCATCTGCTCGATGATTTTATCGATCTTCAGCAATATGGGACTATAAAACGGATCATAGTTCAACGGGTACAGGGGCTATAAAAAATAAATTGAAAGTTTCAACTCGTTCGACGGCTACGTGTGTCCATTATCAAACCTGTCCATCCTGCACGAAAGGCTGATGCTCCAGAATCTGCTGCTGCTGCTGTATCAGTCGCTGCTCAGCCTGAATGCGTATGGCCTCCTTCAGCTGGGCAGCCAGCTCAGGCTGCAAGCAAGAGGGTAGTCAGAGAGAATGTTGAATATTATAAAATATATTATATATAAGCTCAATCAAATGCAAGCAAATCCTTGCAGAGAGAAACTTAAAAGGCCGCTATGCATGACTTCAAGCTGATTTATATCTATAGTTAAGAGCTGTATTCATTTGTACCATAAGGTATGTCTAGTCATAGACAGGGCAGCCGTAACTGAAATATAAGCTAGCTAAGCAATGAGAGAGAAACTTCAAAAGGTCTAATTGCTGCTCAGCTTATACATCTAGCAGCTCAAAAACGTTTCTTTAAAAAATAATGAATATAAATATACATGCAGAGAGAAACTTGAAGAGACTAAAGCAGATTTGTCAACAAGTTTAAGTACACTTATAAAGTCCACATATATACTAATCCATGCAGTTAAATACTAGGTTTGTCTGTCAACATTTAATGTCTCTTAACAGAGTCTAAGGCATAACTTATCTAAAGACTCAGACAGCTCAAGTACTGGGTGTATCCTCACAGCACTAAATACATCTTAAAGTTACATTTAATAACATAGCTAAAAGCATAACTCAGTTAGCGACCCACGAGCTGTATAGGCAGGTATATGGAAAAGCGTTGGCATATTTTCTCAACGCACTGTCGCCAACAGCTGCGTGTTGCACTGTTGCCCCGTGGAGTCATTTTAGTTTGTCTTTCGAAATATGCACTCATTTCATTAGGCTACACCAGCAGTGGATTTTGCAATGTAGCGCGTTGCTGGGCCCTGTTAAAATGCATTTTAATTATGGCCAAGTTAACGTGGCCAGGGCCCGGTGTGGCCCACATGAAGACACTTGAAAGTGAAACTGCCTGCAAAGCAAAAATTATGTGCATATCACTTGAACGTCGTACGACAATGCAATTTGCAAAGAGACACTAAACAGGGTCATTCCGGACGTTAGAGCTGCAAAGACGGGGCCCAGTGCAAACCTTTGACACCAAGAAAAAACTACTCACAACTTAGAGCAAAAGTGTCAATAAACACTTGACGCCCGTGCAGCAGTCTAGACGTCGCACTTGTTCAGAAGTGAAACTGCAGTCGCTTGATTGATTATGTTGTCCCACAGCTGTCCCTGCCCAGCCCTCTGAGCTGACACTTCGGCTGCTGCAGAGTGTGAAAGGAAAGCCATCTCTCAATCATCTTCAGTGCTGGCAAAGCAATTATACATTTTAAGCCTGGCATTAATTTGGACTCGACACACTGCCAAGCGCATTATCTATGCAAAATAAGGCGGCTTAAGACTGGCTTACTCGAGCAACAACTATTTATAGACTTTGACGAACTGTCAGTCGAATATGTCATGAGCATATAATTAATTATGCATCGTTTTGTATGCATGAAGATTTTGAATTCGCCACGATTTGTGTAATGAAATGCCAGAGACAATTTCGAATAATTATGTAGTATCTATCAATTTATCGATTGTCTTTATATAAAATGATCTGCAAACGGTTCTGCTTTACTCTATTTATAGCTTGATTATATTAAAGTTTATATAGTGAAATATATTATGCCTTATTATTATATATTATATATCTAGCTGTCTTTTGGAGCTTGTCTCGATTGGAATTTCACTTTAATTTTAGTGTGTTTACTGAAAATCTGCTGAGTATCGAAGTTCGATTTCTCAGTACTAACAAATTTATCGAATAATATATTACCTATGTATATGAAATGTGATCTGATTAATTAATATTTATTTCATATAAATTTGTCATATATTGCACTTTTTCTTGGCTCCTAAATTATTTTAAGAATGATTTTTAAGTATAGACAAAACCTGAGGAAAATGTAAATTGTGTATCAAATATTAAGCACAGTGGGCTTAAAGATATTTATCATATATTCTGCATATTTTATACTCCCGAAAGTGTTGCATATTTTCTATTTAAAATACTGCAAAATCTGCTATGGCATATATAATAATATATACAATATGATTTAATCCAGTCAATTTCTTACTGTGGCAGCATCTAATCATTATTATTTATATTAAAAAATTTAAATTGTGTATCAAATATTAAGCACAGTGGGCTTAAAGATATTTAGCATATATTCTACGTATTTTATACTCCCGAAACTGTTGCATATTTTCTATTTAAAATACTGCAAAATCTGCTCTTATATGCATGATAATATGGCATATATAATAATATATACAATATGATTTAATCCAGCCAATTTCTTACTGTGGCAGCATCTAATCATTATTATTCTGTATTCCTTATTGAAATGGTACAAATGTCTATTATAAGCGTATCAAAATATGCTGTTTTTGCTAGTCTCAAAGCCTTTAATGTCTAGGATATTTCTGCTCATGCCGCATAAATATTTTGTATATTGTTGCCTGTCGAACTGACATAGTTTATAGAACAATTTGCACGCATATCTATCACAGTCGACTTAGGGTTTAATTAACTGTGCTGCCACACGCTGTGGCTGGGCTCTGCTCACCGAAAGTTGTTGCTGCGGTTGTTGTTGCTGCTGTTGTTGTTGTTGGTTGTTGCGCGCTGGCTCGTATTGAGCGGCAATTTGAGCAGCGGCTGTCAGGCTGGGTGCGTGTCCGTATGGTCCTGTTCCTGTTCCTCGTCCTGGCCCAGGTCCGGCGCCTGGCGCGGCGACATAGACCGGATGGTGCTGTCCAAATGCCGGCCTTGAGCTGCAAATGGCATTCAAATATGGAAATGCGTGTGTAAATGCAAATTGTTTAACAGACGCCAAATCTCTAACAGCTTGTTGTTGTTTACATTGAAAGTAAATTTAAACAAATTTTTAGCTGAGTTCGGAATGGGTTAGTTAACAATTATAGTGTTTATACGGTTAAGTACGGCGTGTGTGTGTGCGTGCGTGGGTGTGCGCGAATGGTTGTGTGTGTGTGCGTTACTTGGGCAGTTTGTACCTTTGTTTGTCCAGGTTGTTAAATTTGTTTAGACTGTGACTAGAGGCTTGTGCTTTTTGAAAACTGATTTGTTGCTGCTGCAGCTGTTGCTGTTGCTGGTTGTTTTGCCAACGTTGTTGTTGCTGCTGTAGCTGTGGCTGTTGTAGCGATGGCGGCTTGGCATATGTCTGTGTTGTGCCCAGGCCCCAGGCTTGCAGCTCATTTGCATCGTTTGCTGTGTGCGGCTTAAAGTAATTCGCATTATCCTCGACTTGTGCATCGCGATTCATGGCTATATATCTGAACGTGTTGAACATTGTGTCAAATGTGATGAGAGGTGCGTGTGTGTGTGTGTGTGTGTGTGAGTATTTAGAGACAGACATTTAACACAGTTAAGGCACACAGTGCTTATCTAGATCCAACTTACTCAGAGCCCAGTCCGGGTCCGCTGTTCTCCCAGGCGCCTTCGAAGTGCTCGTGCCCTGGCCCAGGGCCGTAGCTCTCGTGGACAGGCGCGCCGTGCAGATACGCGGAAGGGTGTCCCTTGGGTGGATGTGTGTAGATAATTTCTGGCACACTATGATGCTCAGCACTGTGCCAAGGCGGCACCACCTGCGACAGACATAGTAAGAGTGGGTAGAGATGGGAATGAAATTAAAGTCAGTTCTTAAATTTTTTCAAGCTCCCCTCATTACGCTACATTACATTTATTTTAGACACTTTTTTATGACGTGTTCGACTTTTTTCTGGTACTTTTTGCCTTTGTGCTTTGGTTACTATTTATAGCCTCGCACTCGAACAGATGCGTATTATTTTGGTTCGACGAGTGCTCGAGTTTGATTTCGGTTCAGTTCAATGACTTCTAAATTGTCGTAAACAACGAATCTGCGCCCGGTTGCCCAGATATGTGACCAAATAGCAGCCATTGCCAGACAGAACACAGGTCAATATCTTCCACGAATTCAATTGTTGCTTTTTAATATCCTCGAAACCGAACTGTTTACATTGCTCTGACAACGGTAAGCGCCTAAGACTATGTCTATAATGCTTTAAAAATTCATTTTTATTCTTTACTTCTATTACTAGAAATTTGATAGCAGTTCTGATAATGCAATGACAACGACTTCTGCTTTCACTCGACATATATAACAACTTTGATATCTCAAATAACATTTAACTCAGCTAGGGTGTTTCGTGAGATACAATGGATCGAAACTCAATTTGGTTTACAAACTTGAACCCTTGTAGCACATCAAAATGCAGGTAAGCGAATGCTATGATTAAGAGTCGCCCACCTTACGCTCCATATGGATGTTTTGCATTGAATTTCTGTGTGTCACACACAAAATCTGATCCAATATATGTAGCTATATTAATGGGGCACACGCATGTTGTCATTATTCAAATCAGAGTAAGTAGCATCTGGTGGCTCAGCACTTGCCTCTTTTACCTGCTTGTTTACATATGCAGCTCGTTTTCGTCACAATTTGTGTCAGATATTTCAGTTTTTAGTTGCCTCACGTATGGCGCCGTGAAGGACGCAACTTTTGCCAGCTCCAGGCATACAGCAAAAAAAAAAACCAGAAAAATATAAGTAAACCAGAGAACAGAAGAAAAATGGTGACAATTTTTGGCACATCAGCGGCAGATGACAGGCGCGTCGAATTACGGCAGACAAACTTGGAGCGCAGAAGCAAAGTTATATATGAGCTCTGTAATACATTGAGGGCGACATAATTTAATTTATGAATACCAAGATTTTCGCCCTCTTATGTGCTCTGGCTTAAAGCTGCCCCAGCAAAGCTTAAGGAAATTGTTTTTCTAGTTTAATTTACTATGCACAGGTGAAATGATGTTGTGGCAGATTATTTGAGCTTTTAATAACTTATTCAAGGACAAAATGTTTTAAGACTTAAAGATTCTTGTTGCCTTGTAGTTTCGACTGCAATTTGGTAAGAGAATTTATCAAATAATTAGATCAACTAACTGAGTCAATGAGTTTATGTGAAAAGTTATCAAAGCTTGGCAAGAAATGCAAAAATATCTTAAGAATTAGATATGCTGCCTACATTTTCATTTACTAAGCAAAATGATTCAAGTTGCTGCAAAGTTTTTCGCTTCTCGACTTGCTAGTAGAATGAGGCTAAGTCGTATTTTCACTTGACAAAAGAGCAAGTTTTCTGGTCAAATTGCATGCCAATCAAAATTAAGTAGAGTCTGCAATGCTGGAGACCAGTTTGAGCCATTAAAACATCATTCATAGACTGCCAAAGTCCTTTCAGCCATATTTATGACTCGCTTGACTCATCGATACGCAAAAGAGATGCTATTAAACTACGCACAAATGGCCAGTTAATAAAGGCGAAAGCAATTGCTTCCAAATTGAACCCAGACAGGTTCAAAAGACGCGCATAGCCATGTTTATACTTCAAACTCGTGCAAAATGTGTGCCAATGGCTCATCCAATTATCTAGGCTTATTCTATGTGTGTGTGTGTGTGTGTGTCGATGTGTACAAATGTCTGCTTGTGAGTGGGACTCTAATCCTTGCCAGTGACAAACATTCATTTGAGCTGTGAATGAAAAACAGGATTTCATTTGATGAAATGTCAAGCAGTTATCGCCATGGCATTAGCGATGTGTGAGTGTGTGTGTGTGTATGTGTGGCATATCTTTAAGTTGAAGCCAGCACGTGCTTGAGTTTTCTTGACGCCTTTGTTGGCCAAATTCAATTAGATAAATTTCAGCATCCATGCATTAGACATATGCCATGTATTTGTTTAATTGCCTTTGAAGAGCAGTGCGTGGGGCGTTTTCTTATTAATAAAATCAAAAAAAAAGTGGGCGTGTTAGGCATAATAAATACGCTAAATGACATAGAAATACAAAAAAGAAATTGAGTTATTTTTTGAGACTTCAATGAAATTCCAGACAAAGCCGAAGACAAAAGAAGACGAACAAAATTTAAGAATAATCGGAAATTAAATAAAAGAGAGACAGAGACAGAGATAGAGATAGAGAGAGAGAGGGAAGTTACTTCTCTTTCGTGTACCTACCGTATGATGATGATTGATCAGATGATGATGATGATGATATTTAGTGCCATGATACGACTGCTGATAGTACGAGCAGAGCTTGAACAGATGCGATAAGGCTGGGAAGAGGAAGAGCAGGAACTTGAGCAACAACTTCTTGGCAGCTCCCACGCCAATCACAATGGGCAGCAGCCAGAACAACTTGATCTTTATGATCTTGATGATCAGCACCAAGGCAATGAATGACAACAGCAATTTGTTGCGCAGAAATTTGTCTACGGAAACGAAAGTTGCAGTTGATTAATATTTTTTATTTGTTTCCTCTAACTGGCTGCGCACTTTCTGCAACTGTCCAGTTTGGCCAGTTTTGTGCACTGGCTCTACTTACTGATCTTTTTCTTGATCATGGCACCAGCAAGTCGTGCTTGGACCAGCTGCTTGGGTATTAGCTCCAGCTTGGCAATGATGCCGTTGCCTTCGATCGAACGCGGCGAGATGCGAAATGTTGCTCCATTGAATACGATCTCGGGCAGATCTAACTCCACATCGTGTGTCATTGCAAACTTGATCGTTTTGCCATAGAGCGCATTGGACACTTCCTCTATGGGGGTTTCCGGACTGGCTGCAGAGGAACAAAAAATATGCAGGAGGAAAGTGTGTTGAGTGAAAACCAAAGCTGACAAAACTTAACTGACAGTTCTATGCTAATGAAAGTTGAAATGGAAGCTGAACAGGTATCCAGGTATGCCGGAGCTTGCGTAATACTAAATGCAGAGTTGTTGATATTGCATTAGCTAAAGAAATCAGAAAACAGAAAACCGAAATCCGAAATCAGCTGCTGCGAGCCGTGACTCACATTGAATGCGAGTCGCATTTCTTGCCACTCAAAATACGTAAAATCAAATCAAAATGCGCCAAGTGAAAGTTGTGAGTGTGAACGTGCCAAGCAAAATGGTAAACAAAACTCAGCCAAAGAATCGAATGCCGAACGAGATGTGAAAACGTTTCACAAACAGCCAAAAAGCCAATAAAGAAAAAACCTTAACAGAAACTACACAGCTCAATGAAAGCGAAATGAGCCAAGGGCTCTTACGTAAGAGATTCACAGATGCTCTAATGTTAGAGCATTCAATTAGAAATTGCGAACACTGAACTGAGTATTTAGTTGTATGTGGTATAAAAACCATTCAAGTGTGATTTCAAATAATTTAACTTGAATTTTTTTGAAGAAGCTACGACAACTATATGAGCTTGAGTCCTATGATATGGATTGATTGATGGACATGAACTACATTCGCAATTGGCATTTTTATACGTAAGGTATGTGAGGCTTCTTTTCTTATATACGCAATAGTATCGATGCTTGTTGTTATGAGTACTTTAAATATTGGAATTATATTTGAACTTGATAAAATATCTTTATAGACAAAATTTGCTCTCAACTCATAAGATTTTGAGCTAAATGAAAGATGTTGAACAGAATTGTCGGCAAATATAGAGCAAAAGAATGTTTCAAGCTGATGTAACTACGCCTGCATATTACTCTTTTACTATCTAACAATGGATGAAGCTGAAGTTAAATGCATGAAGAGATATATTTTAAGACTAGTTTCATCGTAGACAGGCTTCATTTCTAATTGGTTTACTATAGCCTATATATTGAAATCAGTAACAGGCCATCAACATTATATACAGCGCAAGTTTCTCTTCAGCTTCATCAAACAGTTCAATAGTTGACTTATTGCTTAAAATCAATAAACTCTCTTTACATTGCAAACAAGTGAAGATGTGTGAGCATTTTCGTTTGGAACTAAACTCTTACCGGAACGCGCCTCGTTTGTTGTCTCCTCCTTCTCTGGGTCCGACTCGTACTGCACCTGATTCCTGTAGAACTTCAAGCGCTGCGTTATATTTACATCCTGCGTGTCCAGGGCGTTATCCAAATAGGTGTAAACGTTCTTTTGAAAGCAGGACATATCCGGCTTTAGGTAGCATTCGCGTATGAGTCCATCCCAGAGCTCATTTCCGCTAGAAAAACTGCGAGCAATGCGCAGCAGCAACGAATCGGTGCCATTTGGACGCTGCTTCCTGGCTGGCGCTTGTGTGGCATTCACAATGGGCCGCCAATCCTCATTGGTCTGGTCACTTGACGTTGACGGTGCTGTTGCTGTTGCTGTTGCTGATTCTGGCGGTGTTGCTGTTGCTGTTACTGTTACTGTTGTTGCTGTCCCTGTGGTCGCATCAGGTGTTAAAGCTGTCGTGGACAGCCCGCTTTCATTCGCATTTGTGACACTGAGGCAGAGGAGCGCAGACAGCAGCAACAGCCAATGCAGCCAGTTGCTGCACTTATTAGCCATGTTCGAGTGATTTCTAATGCGATGCTCTGATGTTGATTTTGTTGTTGAGGATGTGCACGGGCTCTCACCTGTTGGCCAATTAAGGTGTCTGCTGCTTAGTGCAGACTCTTGCATTTTCAATTTCAGACAATTTACACCTGGAACCAGCAGTTGGCGCTGTCTGGGACTATTTATATAGATTCGATTGAGCTGCGGCACATTAACTGGGCCAAGGGGCAGCTCTATTATAGCCGAACAATCAACGTGCTGTCGCTTTTGTTGCCTCGCACAAAAACCGATTAGCACGCAAACACAATTTCAGCAATTTATATTTTATTTTTTCGTATTGTAAAATATATTATTGATTTTCACAAATTCTTTCAGCGAGTGCGTAGCGCGCGCTAGTTGGCTTTCTTTTTTATTTTTATTTTTATTATTTTACTCTTCGTTGTTATTTTGGTGGCGTTGTTTGCAATTTCGCTGCTGCATTTAGCACATTTTCTATTTAAATAAGCAGAAAGTGTTATTTGAAATGCCAACGGACAGCTGAACAACGTTGCCAACTTGTCACCTTGTTAACTGCAATTACTTCATCTATGCGTTTGACACGCCCACGGTGTAACGGTAGCCGCCTCACAAATATATCCAAACAACGACTTCAATTTATTTCAACGGCGTGCGCATGCGTGCGCGTCTGACCGACAACTGACTCGGTCGTTCGCAGTGCCAGTCAAGATCATGGCGAGGCCAAGCTGCCGGTAAGCTCTCTCTCTCTGTCTCTCTATGCTCTCTCAACTTTCGTTCAGTTTGCGCGCTTCGTTCAGTTTGTGCATTGCACTGACGGCGTCTGTTATTGCTGCTGCTTCTTCGGTCGCACGCGGAATTACTTAGTTGAAATTCTTCCACAGCGCTAACTGTAGTCGCTGCTCTTTGTTGTTGAGAGCTTCGTTGTTATTGTTGCTGTTGTCTGAAAGTTGTTTGCGCTTTGTTTACATTTTCCAGTTAGTTGCGATTGTTTCAAGAGCCGTTTGTCTGCTTATTGGATGCTGCTGGCTGCGCTTTTCACGGCTATTTCAGATGCGCCTGGAACAAGTTTTTTCCTGCAAAGGCAATGTTAATTTTGTAAGAGCTTTGGCTTTTCGGATCAGATATGCATAGTTTTCTATTATAGGCCACTATGTCAGGGTTGTTGGATATTAATTTGCATAGCTAACGGGAATTCTAATGGAATTTTGTGTTATAATCAAATAAGAGCATAATGTGGAAGACAAAATAAATAAATGAAAATTTTATTTATAAGAATTCTGATTTTTTCATGGAATTTAATTTTTGGCCATTAAATTATTATTATTAATTAATATTAAATTAAATAGTAATCTAAAACTCGACTTTTTTGAGCACATACACTCTAAGAAATTATTAACAAATTTAGTCTAAAGTCAAGTATTTACATTTGAAACTTTAATGAAACTTTTTTGATTAGTTTTTTTGTAGTCACATCAAATGAGATTAATATATATGAATATAACTCATACATTTACATATACAAATGCTAGACCTTAAAGTGAAACACTGCGTATACTTAATATTAAAATACTAAAATAGACAAATATACATCATTAGGTAGAATGAAATGTGAACGAACTTTTGCTAACTGTACAAATGGCATTCCTTTTATCATATACATATTATAGATTTAGCCAACGCCTAATTCCATACTGTAATCTACCGAAGTTTGCCTAATTACGCACCAGCTAATGTCCTCTGCATATTCAATCCTAAGCAGACGAACACAGACAGCCGGAGATATACATATGTAAGCTGAGCTGGCTTGATGTAACAGGCCAGGCCATTTATGGCGTCTGGTACAAGAAAATCAATTAGATTAAATTACACACACAGCTGCAGCTGTAGCTTATTATGAGCAATGCGAATTATGAATGTATTTTTTAATGAGCTCGCTTGTTGTGTGTGGCTGCGTCTGCGTCTGCGGCTGTGGCTACGGGTCGTATAAGCAATGCACGTTATCAGCGTCATATGCTTTAAGCGGCAGCTGTGATTGCGTTTATGTCTTTTTATATTAAACACACATATTCTTTATAAGCGACCGTGTTGTCTTATGCAATCAAATGCGAAATGGCCATAAAGCATTTCATACAAAAATGTCGTCAAAATAATGGGCAACAAAACAAGTTTTTGGTAACGAACAGAACACAAGTTAGGTGTTACGTATGAGCTTCGTTGCATGATTTGTAGTTTCCAGTTGGCTAATGTTTTTGGTCTGGGCTTGCGGCTAACGGTCGCCGGTCTTAGCCGTGAACGGTTACAGTTCAGAGTTCAAAAGATAACTAGAACATTGCGTGAGTTTCCGCTCTTAACAATTAAAGTTTACACACAATTTCTGTGTTTGGTTATATAATAGACATGTTTGTTTAGCCGGTCTATAAATTGATGTGGCCTTTTATGCTTTCACTGGATGAAACTGATTACTCTGGCATAATGATTTCATTACATCTTTCATAATGGCACTTGGCTGGAAAAGTGGTCAAAATGCTGTGTGGCATATTTTTAATTCGGTAACAAGCTTTCGCTGTCACAGACAACATTTTCAGTGAGAGATTTTATTGCATTTTTATGTGACAATTTTGTTTTTGTCGAGCAGACTACGTTACTACAAAAGGTCGGAGTAGATGCGGGTATCAGGCCATGGGATACCCCGTTGACAGCGTCAATTTCATGTCACATCTTTCAAATAACAAATATCTGGAGTCATTAAGATGGGAAGAGGAAAGAGGAAGAGAGGGAGACAGATAGAGAGGGAGAAAGAATTAGGAGAGATAAAGAGAACGATTTTAAGAGGAGAAAGAGAAAGATGCAGAAAAAAAGGGATTGAGTGAAAGAGAGAAAGAGAGATGAATACAGATAAAGGCAGCTAAAGCGAGAGATATTTAGAAATATATAGAAAGAGAGAGACATAAACAGAGCGAGTGAGAAAGAGGGATAAGCAGTTGGGCTGATTGACTAACTGATTAGCTGATTAACATAGTCATTGACTAACTGTTTGCCTCTTTGACTGACTGCGTCTGAGTCTGACTAACTTAATTAAGTCAAGTATGCAAGTATGCATATACCCATCTTCTGCGACTTGTTATCTCTACGGGGTATGCCAGAATCTGAATGCCAGTCGCATGTCGAAGCTGACTTAACAAGTTTCACTGCTTTATTATATAAATAATATATCAAATTTAAAAATTTATTTATAATTGTATCTCGCATAATCTTGTAATCGCGTTGTATCAAAGCTGTGCTTAAGTATTGCTTTAAACACTTGCCAACTTTCAGTTTTGGCGCTTGTATCTAATAGATACTTAATTTCACTTCGTGCGTGTATCTTTCGGCTGGCCTTTCAGTCTGTATCTCTGTTTGCCTGTCTGGCTGTCTTTCTAATTTTTGCTTTTGTTTATTTTTCTGTGCCTGTGGCAATTTGTAAACCGATCGCGTCTAGCGTGCAAATATTTTTATAAACTGTAACTTAGTCATTTTTTCTTAGTTAAGAGAAATCTAGCCGGGCAAAAGCAAATTCACTTTCGTTGCGGTTAACCAACTCGACTTACTAATGGCTTATTAAGCCACAAATAGATTGGCTTAATTTTTACGAGCGCGTTTTTATGTGCAGGCGAGTGCAACGCATTTAATGCTATTTCCAAACTTAATTTCATTGTACTTAAATTTTTTTTCGTTTTGTTTGTTTTGTTTTTTTTCGATAAATGAAGCCAAACAGCAAAAACGTGTTGATAAACCGACCATAAAAACCATCGGGCGACACAATTCGCACATTCCCAATGTGAATCGATTGTGGTAAATCGTTACTTTCCGGGGACAGCGCAGGGAGAGCGTGAGAGAGAGAGAAGGAGAGTCAGAAAGAGAGAGAGAGAGAGAGAGAGAGAGAACAGCTAATGCCTTAGTCTATTAAGTCTGTACGCACAAATGTATATGTATCAATATATTTTTAATATAGTCTGTCAGAAAATTGAATTTTTATAAAACATTTTTATCATCAACTTCTCTTTATAAGGATTAAGCGAATACCAATCAAATAGCTGTAGACAAAAACAGAAATGGTCAGTCGTTGTGTTGCTATCTTTGGCAGCTATAATACATTGTTTAAAGCAATTTAATTTCAATCTTTATTGTTATGTTTCCCAAACTGAATATAAATGAAAATATTATTTAACCTTAAATAATCAGAAAATATCTGATTTCTTCAATAGATTGAATGCTGTTTGTTGATAAAGTTATCACTGTAAAACACATTAATAATGCGCTAACCCAAATAAGTTAACGTCTCTTAGCGAATTTGGTTTGTATGTCAAATAAAATTAGCTCGCTTCTATTGGTTCAACAGCTTGTATATATTATGCAAATACATTTTACGTTAATTTGCAATAAGAAAGGGAAGCTAGACCTCTTCAGATTCGCGAATATAATATATGCTTGAATATATATAGCTGCTGCATAATTTATTTTATATATTTTCATATAACAACATTATTAGCAAGCGAAATTATATCGAAAGAATTATTCGAAGAACGGAATCAAGGCTATTTTCGAAACTCGGACAGCATCTTAGAATATACATATATATATATATATAAATATATATTCATCTGTCAGTTCTTCCGGCGAACTGTATCTTAGACAAAGTTGATCGCGGGAAGTCTAAATTCAATCAATTCAAAAATTAATATTAAATTGAAATTCTTTAAGCTCGCCTAATACATTTAAAACTTGTCTAAATTTGGCATAAAAATTCTAATTTAATGATGAACACGCCACTTTTAAATACTTCTCTTATCACATTAAGAAACTGAAAGCCTCACTTGCCATGAAGTTCAGGGCATCTACTAGTCGTGCAGGCTCTCCCTCAGCAGACTTTGCTTGCCTTGAATGCACAGTATAAATATGTATAAATACACCTTAACATATATACATACATCTTATAGACATACATATGAATCTGTTCTACCGAAATGAACTGTTATTCGCAACTAACATTTGACATGACAAGTGAAATGTTTTCTGACATTTGTCGCCATTGCGTTAAACATGGCATTTGATAGCGAGATTTATGTAAATAGTTATTCGTGTTTAACAACAAAATACTGAATGGCACGCCAGCTGTTTATAGTCGGGCTAATTGCTAGAATAATGCGCACGCTTGGGCATTATGTTATTGTTGCCGTTGGGTATTAGAGCATTACGGCGATGCTCATCTAGCATGCGCTAATAACTCAAGCGAGCGTAGACGAAGCCAAAAAAAGTTCTAGCAGTCAGAACTTTGATTAAGTCGCTATGTGTAGTCAGATGCCGCATGCTACATGCCACATGCCACAAGCAGCTTTGCTGGCAACTCACGAAAATTTCACTTTTACATGCGCAACGCTCGTAATTTGCAGAGGAGAAATGCAGCGACAAAACAAAAAATATAAAGCCGGAGAACAGGTTTTATGGCTGCTGTTGCTGCTGCTGCTGCTGCTGGTGTTGCTTGTTGCAAGGCGGAAAAGGCTACGTTTATGGAAGGCTGCTGGACATCAGCCTTGGCCCCTGCAGCCAGCCAGTCAGGTAGCCGTGCTTCTTGCCCGTTTTTGGCCAGTCATGCAA